TGTGGCTCATGTCTTCTTTACCACACAGCTCTCCATTGAGCACAGAGGCACCAAAGCTGATCCGTGATGAGTGACAGTGATGTTTTCATAATAAACTTTTTTTTTTAAATAGGGGCAAGAGATGTAGTTCAATGGTTAAGAGCACTGGCTGCTCTTTCAGAGGACCTGGGCTCACTCGATTTCCTGCACCCTGTGACAACCTGAGTCCCAGGAAATCTAACTGGTCTCTATAGGCACTTCATGCAGTGGTGTACAAACATACATGCAGGCCAAACACCCATATACACAAAACCAAGATAAACGTGTTTTTTTGTTTGTTTGTTTGTTTGTTTATTTTTCGAGACAGGGTTTCTCTGTAGCTTTGGAGCCTGTCCTGGAACTAGTTCTTGTAGACCAGGCTGGCCTTGAACTCACAGAGATCTGCCTGCCTCTGCCTCCCAGAGCTGGGATTAAAGGCACGCACCACCTCGGCCTGGCCAAGATAAAGGTTTTTAGAGCTTTATTTACAAAGACACAAGGAAGCTTGCCCGTCCTTGTTTTAGGGTGTCTTAGGTTAGAGTACATGTTGTAGTCCAGTGCAGATTCAGGAAGAATCTGAGCTTAGGAGTCAGATGCTTTCTGAGTGTAGCTGACTATCCAAAATGCTTGAGAAGTGGAAGAGAGAAAAGAACAGACTGCTGAGGGTCCCTGAGGACCAGGAAGCTTTAGAGGAGTCTAGGAGATTGGGCTATACCCTTGGCATTTGAAAGGCATGAACAGGATGCTTGCAAGTCTGAGACAGCCTGTGGCCAAGCTGGTCTAGGTATTGAGTTCACCTGACCAGAGCTACATAGCGTGACGCCATGTAATAAGAGACCAGAAAGATGGCTCAGCAGTTTAGAGTGTTGATCGTTTTGTAGAGGACTACAGTTCAATTCCCAGCTCATACCCTCATGTAACTCCAGCTCCATGGCCTCTGACACCTTCTTCTAGCTCCACAGGTACCTGCACACTTGTGACACATGCACATATGTACCTATAAATAAAAAGTTCAAAAACAAGTAAAATAAAAGGGACTGGAGAGAGGTCCTCCTGGGAGGTAGGAAGACCCTGGAGATTGGGCACCACACTGGTGACGGAAACATATGTCTATACACAGGCATAGAGCTTAGGCTGGCTGGTGTGCTCCAGCCAGATGTAACCTCATGACTGTATTCCTGGTGAGAGGAGATGATGGAGGAAGGTCATTGGCTAATAAAGGCACTGCCCTGACCCATTTTATTGGTTAGAGGATAGGTGGGAGGAGTAAACAGAACAGAACGCTGGGAGGAAGAGGAAGTGAGCTCAGAGACTCCACAGCTCCTCTAGGGAGCAGACGCCTGAGAGAGACGCCATGCCCCGCTCCCGGCATGAAGCTCCGACCCAGGATGGACTAGGCTAGAATCTTCCCAGTAAGACCAATTCTCACAGATTATTAGAGATGGGTTGATCGGGATGTGAGAATTAGCCTGTAAGTGCTAGAGCTAAAGGGCCAAGCAGTGCTTAAAAGACTACAGTGTCTGTGTAATTATTTTGGGGCATAAGCTAGCCGAGCGGGCGGCTGGGGTGCTGGGGAAGCGGCTCCGCCGCCCTTATTACTTCAAGGAGAGTATAAAACAAACAGATTAAATCTACTTAAGAGGTTTGGCAGTAGCTCCATGGTAGAGCACTAACACATACAAGTCCCAGCCCCAAGACAAACAAGTAGACCTAAGAGGCTAGTAAAATGAAGATGGCAAGGCTATGGCCACCTCAAAAATGTACGGCTGTGAAGATGCTGAGAAAGACAGCAATGACGGGAGAGTTCTTTGCTTAAATGGGAGATGTGTCTAAATGTAGTAAGAAGAGAATGGGATGTCAGGGATATAGGAGCATGAGCAATGAAAGATGATCCCCACTAACTGCCATGAACTTGGGCCATGGAATCCTGCCATTTCCTCAGCTGCACAGTGGAAGTAGTAACAGGACCTGCCCCACTGGCCAATATGATACCCAAACAAGTGGATTTGTGTATGTTACTCAGTGCAATGAATGGGATTTCTATTGCCACCTGTGCCCTGATGCTATCCACAGGGGTCGAGTCTGGGTATGGAGGGTTCCATGGTCTTCAAGGTTCCCCAGCTTTGTGGTAGCCCTGGGAAACTGAGAGCGTCATCTCTCAATTTCATCTGGTCCTGTCCTGCTAAACCACAAATAAATGTTTGTTTTACAACTTTTATAATTGTGTGTGTGAAATATGCTGTGAGTGTAGATGCATTGTGCAAAGGTGTCTGCTGGAGGTCAAAAGACAATTTTCAAAGGGACAGTTCCCTTCCTTGAGGCAGGGTTTCTCGTTTCTACCATGCTGTGTATTTCAGGCTGAACGAGAGCTTTTGGGTTGAGTGAGTGTCTTGTTCCTCTTGTCTCATGCCAGAATGCTGGGTTTGCAGAGGCTTGCCACTGCGTCTGGTTTTTATTTAGAATAAGATGCCTCATAAGTCTTGTGCATTCCCCATTCGGTGGCTGTTTTGGTGGGAGGGGTTGGGATGTGTGACCTTGTTGGAGGAAGTATGTCACTGGAGGTGAGCTTTGAGATTTCAAAAGACCCCTGCCATTCCCAGTGTACTCTTAATTCTCTGCTTGTGAATCAAGATGTTCACTCTCAACTGTTCCTGCCATACCTTCCTTCATCCTTCATCATGGACTCTAATACTCTAGAACCATAAGCCCAAATAAAGGCTTTTTAAAAAAGAAGTTGCCTTGACTATGGTGTTTTATCACAGCAATAAAAAAGTAAGACAGTGGGTTCTAGGGATGAAACTTAGATTATCAAGTTCGTGTGACTAAATCATCTTACTGGTCCTCGATATATATATTTTCAAAACCAATAATGGAATAGCAGGAAATAATACAGGTCTTCTTTTTTAAAAATATTTATTTATTTATTATGTATACAACATTCTGTCTGTGTGCATGCCTGCAGGCCAGAAGAGGGCACCAGACCCCATCACAGATGGTTGTGAGCCACCATGAGGTTGCTGGAAATTGAACTCAGGACCCCCGAAAGAGCAGGCAATGCTCTCAACCTCTGAGCCATCTCTTCAGCCCCCAATACAGGTCTTCTATGAGCTTAGTGGAGTACTGGATGCTGGAAGCTTAGTGGGGTACTGGATGCTGGGAGCTTAATGGGGTACTGGATGCTGGGAGCTTAGTGGGGTAATGGATTCTGGGAGCTTAGTGAGTGAGTACTGGAGGCTGATATTTGTGAGTGATTGGCTCTTCTTGGCCCCTTGGCTTGCTGTGTTTTCCATGAGGAAGGGACAGCAGAGAACCCTTCATGTTGTCCTAGTGTTTTGTTTTGTGTCAGAGGGTAAAGAGTCTATAATAAATTGAATAACATCTGCCCCAATTTCATGCCTACCTGTGATGGTTTATCTTCTCAACCTCATTGGATTAAGAGGCACCTGGGGAATCAACAAGGAACCTATAAGTGTGTATATGAAGGTGTTTCCAGAGAGAGTGGCAGAACATCATCTTACAGGCTGGGTATCCTAATGGAATAGAAGAGGGAAGACAGGTAGGGTGGGTATTGCTGCCTGCTGTGAGGTCCGGGGCTCCTTCAACATGCTACACTGCCATTCTGTCTTGCTGAAGTATGTGGAGCTAAACGACCATGGATAAGATCCCTCAGAAATCATGAACCCAGACTCTTCCTCCTTAAGCTGTATGCATCAGGCATCCCATCACAGCCATGAAATCTGAGCCACACAGCCAGATCTAAGATCATGAAGTCAGACTGAGGCCCTACACTCACCACTAGTGTCTTACATGATGAGGGAGGAGAATGCCCCAAAGGTAGGGGTGGGAGCATCGGAACCAACCAAAGCCCAAGGAATTGAACAAAGCAGAGGTACTCTGCCTATATATAGCCTTGGCAGGGAAAGTCCTAGGGACCCCATGACTTCACACTGGGTTTTTGTGGTGCTGAGTTCCCAGTTTGTGCTCACTTTTTGTGGTTGTTCTACGACATACATACAACCTGGCTTCACATGTGAACTAAGGTACTGAAGGAGGCCAGTGTTCTGACAAATGCCCTAGAGAACTTCTCCACTGTTAGAATGTCAGGATGTGGCATGTGAGCTGAAGCAGAAACTCATGGGAGACAGAGTGCAGGGTGTGCCCCACACTGTCTACCCCACCAAGATCCCACAGCTGGAGCTGAAATCAATTCCAAAGCCATTGTGAGGGCTCTACAGATCCACTCCAAATTTACATTGTTTTTGAGATAGAGGTCTTATTTAGCTGTAAATACAACACTGTAGCCAAGGATGGCCTTGAACTTGTGAACCTCTCATCTCCACTTCCTCCCTTTCCCCCAGTGCTAGGAGTCAGATGTGCCCTACTGCACCCAGTTTACACACAAGTTGGGACAGAACCCAGGGCCTTTGTACCTGTGAGGCAAGCACTTACCTAAGCTACATCCCAAGCCAAATTTATAAGTATTTTGAAAATGCTTCTCACTAATTGACCAATAATGTTTCTTCTAGTTTATTTTAGAAACAAAATGACAGAAATTAGATGAAGGTTTATCTCCTCAGGGTGTTGACCATGACCTTATGTGGGAAAAGGTGGGCAGGCTAGATGTCCAGTAGTAAGGCAGTGGTGAGGCAGATGACAGAGTGTCCATGGGATGGAGTACTAAGCAGCCATTATAAATATTTATGAAAAGTGTTTAATGTTAACAGAGAGCTTTTAATGATGTAGGAGGAACCTATGTGGTATAATATTAACTGAAAAGAAAGCTGGGCATAAAATGTTTCAATATGATGTCAACATGACCAAGAAATGTATGAGAAGACGTCAAGGAAATATGCCAAAATATCAGCCGTCACTGGGAAAGTTGTGTATGTTTAATTTTTTATATACTTCCTGTACTTTAAAATAACTTCCTGTGCACACAGTTATGCCCATAATCAAGAAAGAGAGAAGAAATTTAGAAATGCTCTGTGTGTTTTTCATTTTTATTTTCTCTGATGGATAGTTTGCACATCAGCAAATTTTGACTGGTGCTAACTACTTAGGCCAATCACAACACACATATACACACAGAGAGGTCACACAGGCTGTGCCAGGCTGGCCATGGCAAATGTACATCAAGTTACACAGGAGGAATTGTGGGACTGGCTCAAACACGCCACCAGATGGCTGGGACACAGTTGGATCACATTTCCTCTCCTGCTGCCTGCCAGTTGTTCTTCACTGAGATGTCGGGCCAGCGGGTGACCTCTCACTGGTACTCCCTGCAGCAGCCCTCAGTGGGTGAAGAGGATGCTGGTTGGCATCTGTTCTGGATCCCTTTCTTGACCACTCGACAGTGGCACCTGCAGCTCTCTGCAAACTGGTCCAGGCACCGGATCTGCTCTTGATCACTCACTCCTCCTCACCCCATTCCACTGTGGGTTGGACATGACAAATTGAGAAAGAGCCTGGAGCCTAGCAGATACACACCTGATATGAACTATACCCAGATACAGAATGGGAGGGAGCAAGAGGCATAAACCCAACACCATACACAAGCTCAGCCTTCACAGACAGGCCAGTGTCTCTAGGAAAATGATTACAGTGGAGCCTAAGAGATGGGTGGACTATGTGGAACCCTCCAGGCTACAGTCACTGGGAGAGGACAAACAGGGAACAGGACTTCTATCTGACAGCAAAGCTGGGAGGGTGGATAGGTAATGGGTCCAACATGGTGCTAGATTATTGAAGTTCACAGCTATCCACACCCGGGGGTCATGCCCCTTTCCCAGTTTGTTCAAGTGGTAGGTTAATGAGGGTTTACTGTTTTAAGGGTGGTTGGATAACTGACGAGACAGACTCCTGGGTTGGGCATGCTCTGGGAGGGCCATGCGACAGTGAGGGGCTCTCTATTGTTACACTCTGCACAGCAGTGGCTGGGCCCACCTGCCATGCCCATGACCCGTGATAGCAGTCATGGGCTTGCCTTCAACCCCTTCTGCCTTGGAAATCTCTTAGACCCCTGTAAAATGGGGGCTTTGAGGACAAGAGGGTGGAAGGGATGGTCCCCATGGTTCTGGGGCACCCCACGTAGGGGTTACATGATGCTACACTGGGTGGCCCCACAGCAATCCTTGATGAGTGCCAGGCCTGTCTTGGCCACTGTTGGCTTGCTAGGTGGGGGATCTGCCTTCTTCTCTGCCCGGGAGCCTGCAGGAATGGAAAAGCAGAGGGAAAGAGAGAAAGGTAAGGAGAAGAAATCCCTGATCACTGGCAGTCCAACCCAAACCCAACCCATGACCAGGCCTTAGTATGGAGAATGGCTATGCATTCTATGTTCAACATTCGTGGACTTTCTTGTCACACATTCCTCGGGTTCCAAGTGCATCTTGAGTCTTCCTTCTAGTCAGTCCCTCTCATCATGTTAGTTTCCAGGCCTAGTGCAGGGTAAATGGGAAATTCTGTTCAATGCACTTTAACTCAAGGCTTCACATCTTTCAGTTTAGGAAAATGCTCAAGTTGTCTTTTCAGAATGCTCTCCTGGTCATCCTCCATTTTATCCCCTCAGAATGCCTATTAGATGTAAATTAAACTTGTCATTCTGTCCTCTCTCTTTGTAGAAGCTATTGTACTTTCCTCTTTGTTCTGTATCCTGAGTAATTTCCTCAGGACTGCCTTCCATTTTGTGAAGCATGCTTTCAACTGTGTCTTCTTATTCAATCCTTTTAAGGTTTTTCTTCCACGGCAGTTTTATTAATGAGGCTAATGTTTTTGCAAGTCTATTTACATTTTTTCATAGCATTGTTCTATTTCATCTTGGGTTTTGTTTCTTGTCTCTTTAATAACTTTAATATACTTAGTGCATTGTCTCTTCAAGATCGTTTTCTTTTTAAATCTTTTTTTTTTAAAAATACTTTGTAGGGCTGGAGAGATGGCTCAGAGGTTAAGAGCACTGACTGCTCTTCCAAAGGTCCTGAGTTCAATTCCCAGGAACCACATGGTGGCTCACAACCATCTGCTGGCATACACACAGACAGAATATTGTATACATAATAAATAAATAAATATGAAAAAACTTTGTAATTTATGGTGTGCACACAGATGACTCAGGAGTACATGAGTGTCGAGGGCAGAGGACAACCGTGTGAAGTTCTCTCCTTTCACATTTACATGGGTGCTGAAGGTCAAACTCAGGCTATCAGGCTTCTGTAACAAGCCTTAATCTACTGAGCCATCTTGATGTCTTCTTCTATCAGGTTTTTCACATTTACATGGATGCTGAAGGTCAAACTCAGGCTATCAGGCTTCTGTAACAAGCCTTAATCTACTGAGCCATCTTGATGTCTTCTTCTATCAGGTTTTTGGGAAGTCATTTTCTTTGTTGCATCTGCTTTTCCTATCATGGTGATTCAATTTTTCATGGGTTTAAAAAAATTTACTGTCAAGTAATGTTCCTGGTGGTTATTACCTAAGGAAGACTATGTGAAAGATGTGTGCATCCTCTGTGAGAAGTTCTACAAGTTCAGTTTGTTGTGCCACCTGTTACTGACCTGTGGAAACAGAATTGTCAACTGTGGGGAATACAGAAAGGCTCCCATGTATTGGTCACTAAAACCACAAGGCAGATGGCCTTGACTAAAGTCATTTTCCTTACAGGCCTGTCTATTTGATATTTTATCAAACATGAAATATAAAGACCCCACCTAATAGCACGGTGAGAGGGCAAATACATGCACCTTCTAGGTAGGCACATGGCTAGGAGAGAGAGAGAAAAGAGAGAGAGAGAGAGAGAGAGAGAGAGAGAGAGAGAGAGAGAGAGATTCTTTCCATAAGTTCTGTTCCTCTAGAGAACCCTGCCTAATGTAAGGAAGAGTCTGACATTACCTTGGAGTTGTCAAGCTGTGGTTTTCAGGTCTGGACCTTGGAGAGGGCGTTTATTAGAGTATGAATTTTCAAATTGATTGGATTGAAAATAATATTTAGCAAAGCCTAAGTCTGGGTGTGTCTGTGGTGGTATTCCAGAGAAGATTAGAATTGAGGCTCTGGCCAATCAGTGGTGTCATTCCTCGAAGGCTTCTTAATGTGATAGGATCACATATGTAACCCTAGCTGGTCTGGAACTCTTTTTTTTTTTTTTTTTTTGGTTTTTCGAGACAGGGTTTCTCTGTGGTTTTGGAGCCTGTCCTGGAACTAGCTCTGTAGACCAGGCTGGTCTCGAACTCACAGAGATCCGCCTGCCTCTGCCTCCCGAGTGCTGGGATTAAAGGCGTGCGCCACCATCGCCCGGCTTGGAACTCTTAATGTATGTAGAGCAGGCTGGCTTTGAACTAACATGGATCCCCTTGTCCTTGCTTTCTGAGTGCTGGGATTAAAGATGTGCACCACCAATATCCAAGGATATCCACTTCTTTGTGTTTTTATTTTTGCTTTTTGGCTTTTTAAGACAGGGTTTCACTGTATAACAGCTCTGGCTGTCCTGGAACTAGTTCTATAGATCAAGATGGCCTCAAACTCACAGAGATACACCTGCCTCTGCCTCCCAAGTGCTGGGATTAAAGGCGTGCACCACCATCTCCTGGCAGAATATCCACTTCTTACAACTGAAAGAGACCTTATTAATGTAGCAGTTAGAAATATCTGCCAAACATTACATCAAAAAAGAAAAGATATTGACACCAGGAGCCATGATCACTTTAACATCTGGTGGACAGGAGGTATTTCTAAACTTGTCTCATTAAAAACTCTTTCTGCTAGGGTACCTCATAAAGCTAACAATTATTCTGAGAATTGTGTCTCTGGCTCTTCCAGATTCCAGCCCTAATAGCAGCTGGAACACCTGAAGGCCATAGTTGCCATCTTATTCTTAATGAAACACATCAGATTGGAACTATGGAAGGACAGCCGTTGCAGGACCAGCTGCTTACACTTGGGGACAATGACAGCATAAGGTTCGTGGAACCAAAACTACAAAGACAATTGTAACAAATCCTTAAACCAAGCATGGAGCGCGTCAGGGCACGGACCTTGGAGACTGCATGAGCTGCAGACCCCACCCCCCCCATTAGCCTGGCCCTACCTGCTTCCATCCCATGCTTAAGATGTGTATCTTATAAAGTGTGTCTTATGCCCCTACCCTCACTTGTTTAAAATCTCTGTCATAGGAAAGGGGGACCATGCAGGCACTCACGAGCTGAAGATTTGGTTACTTTGTCTAGAGGTTTTAACTTGATCCTCAGGAAATCAGCCATTTCCTTGTCTTCTTCCTGTTCCCTGGGAAGATGGACATGGAAAAGAGAAGAGGAAAATAAAGTCAGCATGGAAAATGCCAATGGTGGCCAGAAAGAGGCCAAGCATGAGCTTGGGGAGTGGCGTGTAACATGTACATATGGCGTGTGACTCTGTGTTAGGTGAACCCTATCTCTAATGATATAGATGCTGACTCAGAGCTAGAGTGAGACCTCAAGACAGAAAGAAGAACATGTTCCTTGCTGGGGTTCAGTGAACTGGGAAGCATCCCTGTGCCTTCAAGCTACCCCAGACACTCTGACTCCCACAAGGTTCTAGGCCCGTCTCAGAGAGAAAGTCACCTTCGTCTTCAAGGCTGCCAAGAATAAAATGGGTTTTGTGTAGCTCAGATGACTCTGGGAAAGTTCTCAGAGGACACATGATGAAGTAGCCCCCTACATGGAGAGAGACTCCGAAGGCTTTGTTTTGGGACAAAAATACCCAAGACACACAGCTGCACCCAGACCTAGCATCCTGGTTGCACAGCTCTAGAGCCAAGGGGGCTCCAAGCCGAGATTGGCAGGTACAGGACAGGAAGCAGCATGAGGGGGAAAAAGTGAAAGCAAAGCACCAAGCTGGGAACTTGGGAGAAGCTGTCCTGGGGGCAGGTGTTTGTCCACTTTGACAGAAGTTTAGATGTAACCAGATGATGTGTAGGGCACTTTGTCCTCTAACGCATGACGGAATTTCTCCCTGCCTAGACTTTGAGGGATGAAATGCTGTTTCTCTTGAACAGGAAATAGGTTCTGAGGTCAGAAAGGTTTGGTGTCTGGGGAGCAACGGCAGAGGCCAAGCCTGTTAGGTAAGGCCATAGGTCCCAGGAGCAGACAATGGGTTTGCTGGGTGGTTCAGGGAGCAGAGGCTTGGGATCTGAGGGCCTAGGACCCACCTTAACCGTTCCACCTCAGCATCATCCACTAGGAAGTCTCTCTTCTGCACCAGTCTGTGAATCTTCTGGATTAGCTCATCCTCTCTCTGCTTCTGCAGCTTGGTCTTTTCTTTTTCTGGGAGGAAGAAAACAGTGGGGCAGCTATGATGGTGCTTGCTTGCAATCCCAGCACTCGAGGCTGAAGCAAGAGAGTGCTGAGTTTGAAGTTAGCCTGGGACAACATGTGAGACCCTGTCTCAAGACACAACAAAACAGGCAGTGAGTGTAAGCAGTGAAAGCCCTGAGTCTGCGGAGATAGGATTGGACCTGGGACTCTGCTGCTTTGTTCACTGATGAACTTGAAGAGGCTATATGACCACTCGTGTGTTTGTTTATTGTAGTCTGTGTGCTCACTCGTGTGTGCATGCACGTGGAAGCTAGTGTTCAACAATGGGTGTTGTGCTGGAGAGTTTTATGTCAACTTGATCGAGGAGAGAACCTCAGTTAAGAAAATGCCTCCTTAATTAGTAAATGATGGGAAAAGGTCAAGCCCATGGTGGGCGGTGCGACCCCTGGGCTGATGGTCTGGGTTCTCTAAGAAAGCAGGCTGAGCAAAGCCATGAAGATCCAGCCAGTAAGCAGAATTCCTCCATGGCTTCTGCATCAGCTCCTGCCTCCAGGTTCGTGCCCTGTTTGAGTTCCTGTTCTGATTTCTTTTGGTGATGAACAATGATATAGAAGTATAAGTTAAGCAAACTCTTTCCCCCACCCCCAGCATCTTTGCTCATAGTGTTTCATCCCCCCCTCCAGCATCTTTGCTCACCGTGTTTCATCCCCCCCCCACAGCATCTTTGCTCATGGTGTTTCATCCCCCCCAGCATCTTTGCTCATGGTGTTTCATCCCCCCCCAGCATCTTTGCTCATGGTGTTTCATCCCTCCCCCCCGCCAGCATCTTTGCTCACGGTGTTTCATCACAGAGCAGAAATCCGAACTAGGACGGGCGTTGTTCCCCAGGTTCTGTCTAACGTTTTTGGTTTGTTTGCTTTTGGGGTGAGGGGGTATGATGTGAGATTCCCCTCTGTATGCTGTGAATATGTTTTATTACCATTGGTTAATAAAGAAGCTGTTCTGGGCCTATGGCAGTGCAGAATAGATCAAGGTGGGAATTCCAAGCAGAGATAGAGAAGAAAAGAAAGCAGAGTCAGAGAGATGCCATGTAGCTGCTGAAGGAGAAAGATGTCTGCTCTGGAACCTTACCAGTAAACCACGAGCCTTGTGGTAAAATGCAAAATAATAGGAATGGATTAATTTAAGATGTAAGAGCTAGCCAATAAGAAGCCAGTGCTAATAGGCCAAGCAATGATACAATTAATATGATTTCTGCATTATTATTTAGGTCTGGGCGGCTGAGAAATGAATGCACAGTCTCTGTCTATAGGGGTGCTGTTGGTTTTAGAGACAAGGTCCTGGTTGTCCTGGAACTCACTAGTAGATGAAGATGGCCTCAAACCCACAGAGATCTACCTGCCTCTGCCTCCCGAGTGCTGGAATTAAAGGCATGTGCCACCATGCCTGGTTTTGTTTGTGTTTTTTTTTAATGTGTATGTGTGTGTGCCTGAGGATATGTATGTGCACCATGTGCCCGAAGGTATCTGTGGAGGCCAGACATGCATGTTAATTGTCAGTCACCTTTTAAATGGTCAAATTCTTTAATGTGCCCAGAACTATGCTTATAGTCATGCTAAGTACAAATGTAATTCATTTACAGTCACAAGTTTTATTTAGCTTCCTGTATATATTTTCAAGATTAAGCCTAAAGCAAATAACTAAAAACAAGTAAAGGTTTGTTTAACTTGGGTATACTTAATAGATAATGGTCCTCAAACTTTTCTCAGATCTGCTGAATTTGGTGTTTAGTGTTTAATGGAAAAAGCTTCCCATGGTAGAAAAAAAAAATGCCAGCTCCTATCAGCAAGGTTTCCAAAGAATATGGGACACAGATGACTCCACCTGACTGTGGTAACGCTAACCACTGGGCAAAGAACAGCCACATGCCTTACCCTCTGCCAGAGCCCTGCCCAAACTGTAGACACTTCTGGATTGACTTCCCGACTCTACCTCATCAAATTCTCGCCTACAGGAAAATTCCTCAGACCTTCTGGGTCTGGCAGCCAAAGGCTGAGGCTGCTTATGCAGCCGCTGGAGATGTGATGTGGTCCTGTGCAGCCCTGTGCAGCCGCTGGAGATGTGATGTGGTCCTGTGCAGCCCTGTGCAGCCGCTGGAGATGTGATGTGGTCCTGTGTGACTGACAGCCCTGTGCAGCCACTGGAGATGTGATGTGGTCCTGTGCAGCCCTGTGCAGCAGCTGGAGATGTGTTGTTGTCCTGTGCAGCCCTGTGCAGCCACTGGAGATGTGATGTGGTCCTGTGCAGCCCTGTGCAGCCACTGGAGATGTGATGTGGTCCTGTGCAGCCCTGTGCAGCAGCTGGAGATGTGATGTGGTCCTGTGCAGCCCTGTGCAGCCGCTGGAGATGTGATGTGGTCCTGTGCAGCCCTGTGCAGCCACTGGAGATGTGATGTGGTCCTGTGCAGCCCTGTGCAGCCGCTGGAGATGTGATGTGGTCCTGTGCAGCCCTGTGCAGCCGCTGGAGATGTGATGTGGTCCTGTGCAGCCCTGTGCAGCCGCTGGAGATGTGATGTGGTCCTGTGCAGCCCTGTGCAGCCGCTGGAGATGTGATGTGGTCCTGTGTGACTGACAGCCAAAGACCAAGACCTCTGCCTCCTAATGAAGGCATCAAGATCACTGTCTAGGTAGTGGGTAAGTCTCTCTCATTTTAATTGCTACATAGACCATTTGGATTATACTTCCTCCTGCTATAATTCATTCTTTTCAGATCTCTGATGGTGTTGATGGCTAACTATAGCTTTGTCAGTTTGGCAGTGGCAAGTACCAGCTCCTCTCTGCATGGCTGCATCTGCCTGGTCAGTTTATTTCCTTTGTAAAATCTGGCCTCACTTTTCTAGAGCCACTAGGTTTCCTGCTAAGAAAGACAGACACAGAAACAGTTTCCCTTGGTGACTGACTTCACTCTGAAAGAGATAAATTCACAAAACAGGTTTCAACATAATCTTTACTATTCTTTTATTTAAAGGAACTTGCTTTGCAATAACTACTCTGAGTAATCAATCACTTGTGTCTCCTGGTAATCGATTAAATGGAAAAAGAAAAGTTTTGATGTTTATTTAAGTGGTGTGTGAGGGTCTAAGAAAGTAATTTTGTTTGTTTGTTTGATCGGTTGGTTGGTTTTTCAAGACAGGGTTTCTCTGTGTAGCTATGACTATTTTGGAACTTGCTTTGTAGATCAGGTTGGCCTTGAACTCACATAGATCCATCTGCTTCTGTCTCCCAGATGCTGGAACTAAAGTTGTGCACCACCACCATTTGGCTTGAAGAAGGTTATCTTACGGTGTGTAAATGTGAGTTGTAAAGGAAGTGATTTAAGATATGTAAAAAATGAGAAATGTTTCAGATTTTTTCTCTCATTATGCTGTTGTTATATTAAGACTTCAAAAGTTCAGAGTTTTAACAATAACCAATGGAGTTCTTATAAGAACTGTCCTTAGTAAAGCACTGACTAAAGCTCTCATTGTGTTGAAAACATCTCTGTCTATGTATTCAGCCATCTGGACAGAGGAAAAAGTGTTCATGCTTTTAATCCAGAATTATTTTTTGGGTTCTCAAGCTTTTTCTATGACTCAAAAGTGTGAGTCAACTGCTTTTTCTACAATGTGAATTTCAGAACAGATTACTAACAGTAATAATACTAACATAGCTAAAACTGTTACCTCTTTTTGTAAAATTAAAAAATTCCTCTAAGTTTGAGGAAGTCATAAGACTTGGATCTACCTGTAACAGGTCAAACAGACTCCAGACAAGTACTCTGTTAATCAACAGCAAGTTTCCCCACATGCCTATTTCTGAGGATGGGATCTCTCTCTCTCTCTCTCTCTCTCTCTCTCTCTCTCTCTCTCTCTCTCTCTCGACTTCCCCCAGCTCCAATTACCAAGAACAGAGGTCTGGAAATTTTAAATGAACACCTAAGATAAAAATTTCCCTTGCTGGGCGTGGGGGCACACATATTTAATCCTAGCACTTGGGAGGCAGACAGCCTGGTCTGTGAAGTGAATTCCAGGATAGCCGGAACATAGAGAAACCCTGTCTTGGAAAAAAAATTCCCCTAAACTCCTTAACTTTCCCTTCAGTTCCTAGTCTATATCTATCCCAACAGATTTCCAATGAACTGCTCCAAAGCTGCCTGTAATGGGTCAGCACCAGGGTTCCTTGGCACCTATATCCAGATGGGTCCAAAGCAGCCTGCACTTCACTAGTCCCCGGTGATCTCACAGAACCTGAGCAACAAGCAAAACAGATATCCCTCAGCCTACACTCCTCTCTCCCTTTCCATCCTTTGACATATTCCAGCCTTCCCGGACCCACAACAATGCCTTAATTTCAGCAGGAAGTAGTTACAGAAGAGATTGTCACCTCTTATCATCAACAAAAAGCTGGAATGGTAGGTTTCCAAGACATTCAGGACAAATGGCTGACTTAGGTGTCTGTTAGCATTAAAGCAGATGCTGGCTGCCAGGTTCTCCCAGCATCACAAGTTATGGAGTCCTGGCTCCTCCCAGCACTTCTCACCCCCACCCCTCCCCTAAACCTCTCCAGCCCATGGGTTTTGCTTCTCTTCCCCCAGTTTCTCCTTTTCTATATAACTCGGTCATTTTGGCTTTGCCTGCTCTCTTGGCTCTTTTAGTTCCTGTGGGCTCTCTTGGTCCTCTTGACCCCTCTCTCCTCTCTTTTCTCTTCCTCTCTTGCTCTTCCCCCATCTCGAGATCCTCCTCTCATGGCCTGGTCTATTCTGCTGACCATGTTCAGCCTGGACTCTTCCAGATGCCTCTGGCTGTTCTCTCCCTCATATCTACAACAAAAACCTTCTCTCAAATATACCTTGGAACGGTTATGTCCTTATTTTCATTCACTTTGCATAAGAAGTCCACCTCATCTATTGTACCACACACCCTGGTTCTTAATGCTCCTACATGCTTGCTTCTACTTTTTATTTCCTCAGCTAGGACCACCATTTATCCTCCCTAAACTGGTTTCCCTGGCCCATAGCTTCTGTCTCCCCTTCACTGTCTGTGCTGGGGTGGTCTCCTCGCCCTCTCTGCCCAGCTGGGTGTATTCCTTGACTACTTTGAGCATCCAGTGTTTTGCTATAGATTGTCATAGAGCTCTTGTAAGTTGCTTGTTTGGTTAGTTTGAAATAGGCAGCCCTCATACTCATGATACTTATGCAGCAGCTTTTCTAAGTCCTGACATTATTATTATTTAAATATGACCCTGAATATCCTCTTATATATATTAAATCACTTCCAGACTGCCTGTAATATGGGACATGTACAGATAGTCAGTAAGCGCTTGTTATATGCACCAGCCATGCCAACTAGTTCCAAGTTTTAGGAGAATAAATCAAGTAAAACACTTGCCAAGGTCAAGTTCTTGAAGCTGAAGCTGTGTCTATTAATAATCCTCCCTTAGCATTGCCAAACTCCTACACATGCTGTCAGAGACATGAACTGAGACAGATGCATGATCCAGTCAACAGCTGGGATGTTAGTCTTAGAATCAACTGAGAGGAGAGCTGCCTAAACAACCATTCGGGTTCTCTTAATCAGGTTACTGGAAGTGGCAAGACAGACATCAAATGTGGTTGGCACCTTCTCGTTACAGCACAGATAAAAGTTGCGAGAAAGAAAACTTTGGTTTTTGCCTATTATTTATCAGTGTTTGTGAAGTCATCTACCTGCTTCCTGCTGCTGTGGCTGTTACATTCCTTTGCAGATCTCAGAACCAGATTCTTTGACAACGACTGACTCTACAGTAATCTGCCAGGCCCTCAGGGACATATTGGGACCACTGAGGCAAGACTGAGCAGCAACTGGCCTCTCAGCCTCTCCAGTGTGCAGAGACCAGAGACTATCACGTAAGCCAACCTAATTTAAAAATCCCCTTTAAATACATATTCAACCTATGGGCTCTGTTCCTCCAGAGAATCCTGACTAATATAACAGGCATTTGAATGGTTATTCCTTTGAGAAGCAGAAGGCCCATGGGGCACCTAACCCAGAGTGTTTTGGGGAGGACAAGGGATCAGATAATCAACATTGTTGACAACTGATGTAGATTTGACCCCATTATGAAGCTTATGACCGCTCCACTCTCCCTGTTTCCACACATTAGAAACATGGCAGTGATGGGTCTGAGCCAAAGTGTACATTCACCTCGGGAATAATTCAACTTGAGCAGCTTTATCGTATTTTTGAAGTGCTGATGTTCAGAACCTGGTCCCTGCACATACTAGGAAAGTAATCTGCCATTGAACTGTTCCTCTTAGTCCCTCAGGAGATTGATGTTAGGTATATGACTCTTCCACATTCACAGAAAGAAAAATTGAGTCTTGGGGGGAAAAAGTGGCTTGCTTAAGGTCAAAGGTGGCCCTGTCTGACATAAACTAATGCTTACCTTGTTTGTTTGAGGTGTGGTCTCAGTCAGTAGCCCAGGCTGGTTTTGAATGAGTGGGCCATCTTCCTGCCTCCTGCCTCCCAAGTGCTTAGATTATGGGTGTGTGCCACCATACCCTACATAGACTTGTGTTTAAATCATGGAGCCGCCACTAGGAAAAGAGACAACAACCTCACTCCTCCCAATCCCGTGAATACAGAGGGCAGGTGAGGAGCCCTAGGCAGTGGCTAAGAAAGGGTGCAGTCACTCACATTACCTGGGATAGCGACCAAGTTCTGCAACTCCTGCTTCAGGTCCATGATGTCCTTGCAGAGCTGAATGTCATCCATCCTGTGGGGGAGGGAGCACCACAGGAGACGTTACTTCAGAAAACACACCTTGGCATCACCCTGGTGTGAACCCAGGAGGCTGGTGAGAGTGATGCCCCTTCCACAGGCTATGCCGACTGCTTAACTTGGTTGAAGGAGGCCTGGGTGATCAGTGACCAGCCTGTTTCTGGGTAAGTCTGGGTAGTCACCGCTTTTTTCCTTGCTGTGACAAAGTACCTCCCAAGAATTAACTTAGGGGGAGGGGATGGTTATTTAGGACAATAGTTCTGGGGACTACAGTCTACCATTGGAAGGAAGGCAGGGGACCAGATGGCTCTGTAGCCACATGAGTCTGGAAGCTCCTTTTATACAGTCCAGGCCAGGAAACAGAGCACTTGGATAGGAACCTGGCATGTAGAACCCTCTGCCCCCACAGCTAGCCAGACCCCACATCCTTGAAATCGTAGAACCTTCCACAACAGTGCCACCGTGTTTGGCCAGAAGCGTGACCCCCAGCCCCTTGTTTTTTTTTTTTTTTTTTTTTTTTTTTTTTTTTTTTTTTGGTTTTTCGAGACAGGGTTTCTCTGTGGTTTTGGAGTCTGTCCTGGAACTAGCTCTTGTAGACCAGGCTGGTCTCGAACTCACAGAGATCCGCCTGCCTCTGCCTCCCGAGTGCTGGGATTAAAGGCGTGTGCCACCACCGCCCGGCTCAGCCCCTTGTTTTTGTATGGTGTATTTATCTCTCACTACCGTGAGGCCTCTGAACTTCTTCCTGCTAAGGTCTTTAACACATGTAACGATTATACCCACCAGTGACTGACCACAAATGTCTGTGTTTTTCACCCCACTCCTAGCATCCAAGATCCCAGGACCAGGGTAGGGATCCCAGGACCAGGGTAGGGATCCCAGGGCCAGGATAGGGATCCCAGGGCCAGGGTAGGGATCCCAGGGCCAGGGTAGGGATCCCAGGACCAGGGTAGGGATCCCAGGGCCAGGGTAGGGATCCCAGGGCCAGGGTAGGGATCCCAGGGCCAGGGTAGGGATCCCAGGGCCAGGGTAGGGATCCCAGGGCCAGGGTAGGGATCCCAGGACCAGGGTAGGGATCCCAGGACCAGGGTAGGGATCCCAGGGCCAGGGTAGGGATCCCAGGGCCAGGGTAGGGATCTCAGGGCCAGGGTAGGGATCCCAGGACCAGGGTAGGGATCCCAGGACCAGGGTAGGGATCCCAGGCTTTATTCTACATCTCTTGATGCCAGAGGCAGGCCAGGAATTTTTCAAGACTTGGCTTAGAACATTCTAGCAGGCTACCTTGAATGAGCCAGGGCTTGCCAGAAGGACACAGACTGCCTACTGCCTGTTGGTTTGTAACCTTAGTAGTTCCCTAGACCTTAGCACAACTGACTCCACGATGGAAGTACCTTTCAGGCCATAAAACTCATCATGTAGATAGCACCACCTGAAAAAATGTAAAAAAAAAAACCTGTGAGGTGAAACAAACCCTTTCCCCTCCAAGTTGCTTTTGATCACAGGGTTTATCACAGCAATAGATATCCTAACTAACATCGAGCGAGACTAAACACATGCCCACATTCATACAGCAGAGCTGTTTGGCTTGAAGAAATGCACTGAGCATGTGAGACCTTTGATATGTGAGATGATAGGATGTCATTTAGGGTCCTGATAGTTAATACTGTCAACTTGGCTAGATCTAGAATTACCTAGGAGACAACCCTCTGAGCATTCCTTCAGCCAAACCTGACAACCTGGGTTCAATAACCAGGACATGTAGAAACAATCCGGGCCTCCCACATCAATCATCAAACAGGAAGATGCCCCCACAGACTTGCCCATAGGTCACTCAGATGGAGACATTTCCTCAGTTGAGGTTCCTTTTGTAGATAACTCTAACTTGTGTCAAGTTGATATAAAAACTAGCTAGCACACCAGAGTGTAAGCATCAGTGTTATTCCTGGAGTGCGGATGAGCCCACAAGTCTCCAGAGAGCCCTGGCTCCCATCATGCTGGGGAGCAAGGTACAGAGAGTAAAGAGAAGCCCCTGGAACATTCTGGAAGGCCTGGCTATCAGTTATCTCCATTGATGTATCCTGGGTTATAACCAGATCTTTCCTGGATGAGACACTTATTCCCAAAAAGAACTTCAGAACCCCTTGAGAACAACTTACTTTTTTGTTCAAGAATATTCTAGACTGAGTTTTGATTCTTTTGTGTGTATGTGGTGTATATGAACTTTAATTTACCTTTTATTTTACATGTATGCATGTTTGCATCATGCCTGCTTGTATGTATATTTACCATATGTGTGCCTGGTGCACACGGAGGCCCAAAGAGGACATTGGATTCCTTGGTACTGGAGTTACAAACAGGTGTGAGCTGCCATGTGGGTGTCACCGGGTTCTCTGGAAGGGCAGTCAGTGCTCTTAATCATGGAACCCCCTCCCCATCCCCATCTGGCAATCCGCATTAGCAGCTCTATGCTTCAAATGTGCCCTCCACAACTTGTGTTAAGATTAAACAGTCATTGAAATTTGTTTGTCTTATGAGAGAGGTGATTCAGTCAGGAGAGCATGACACTTTTGAAGGTTGAGGTGTTCCCTGACCTGGGAGAAGAGGGACTACATTAGTTTTGAGAAAGGGTCTCTCACTAAACCTGGAACTCACTGATTGGGTTAGATTGGCTGGTCCGTAAACCCTCAAACCCCCCTGTATGCACCTTCCCTGCACTGGAATTACAGGCCTGCAATGCTGACTTTTTCACGTAGTGGCTTGGTGACTGAACTCAGGATTTTATGGTTACATGGCAAGCAATCTGCTGGCTAAGCCATTCCCAGCCCCTTCTCTATAGTTTTTTATTTTCATTTTTACAATAAATCCTTTTTATGTAATTTTAAAATTTGTAGTATTACTACTATTACAACAACAACTACTACTACTACTACTACTACTACTACTAATAATAATAATAATAATAATAATAATAAATGTGTGAGTATACATGTATAGTATTAGAGATGGAATCCAGGGCCTTGGTCAAACTAGATAAATGATTTCCCATTGGGCTACCTGACCCACCCAGCACCTTTCTAGATAACTTTGAAAGGTTGTACATTTTAATTGCATGGGTCACTCCTTTCTTTGGAGACCATATAACCACAGTTGCCTCAGAAGACCCTCCTCCATTCCCTGTCCTCTTCTGTCTCACCTTTAGCCTGTGAGCTGTGGGACCACATCTTCCCAATCTGTGACCAAACCTTTCCTAAGTCAGAGCACCTTTGCCTCTCCAACTAATTCCTGTGTAGCCTTCAAAACAGTCCAGGGCCTCCTTCTGGAACCTTCCCTATGCTCCCAGGCTGGTTCAGTTCCTTTCCTTTCATGGTATCCCAGCTTTTGTGTTCCCCAAACAGAATGTGCCCTCCTTAAAGGGACTTGACTTCTGTTTCCTGCATGGCACACTTCAGTCAATATGTGATCTTTTAAGAAAGCAAGCAAGCAGGTGGACATAGAGAAGAGCACACATTCCTAGATTCCATCAAAACAAGACTTAGGGCTTCCAATGCAAGTAGAAAATCTCAAATCCCATGAGCGAGACACCAGGAGGGTAATGACATCTATCGAAGGTGCTAAGTCTTTTGAGAGAAACCCAGTTAAACACTGGTAGTTTGGGTGATGCAGCTTTGCATTTTGTCAATGGCCTCCCCTGCCCTCCCATGGCCTATCACCTGCCAAGACTTACTGCCAATGCTGTCTCCCTTCCATACCCTCTATCCCTACTCCCAAAATTTACTCGTCTCTCACACTGACACCAACAAAAGCTAACACAGAGCTGACAATGTCCTGCCAGCCTGTCTCTGGTCCCAGCACCGCCTAGTGCAATGCTTACTGCCTGTAAGGGCACACATTCTCATTCTCACTCTCTCAACCAAGTTCATACAGCTGGCACGATTCTAGAGAAGATAAGCTGGGACAGTTGCCGCTGGAACACTGCATGCAGATGTCACCCAGATAGCTTCCCCCGTCTTTGTTCCATTTTTGTGGCCCAGAATCAGGCCAGGTGTGGTTACATACCCACCCAGGCATATCTCTGAGAATTTGAGGCTAGTCTGGTCTACATAGTGAGTTCCAAGACAGCAAGAACTACACAGACGGATCCTGTCTCTAAAATCAAGATAAATAAATACCTAAGTGGGTAAATGAATCAATGCCCCAGGAGTAAGCCTGGGAGCTGGGTTTTCTTGGCAGGGTTTGGAGATACTTCAGTCCCATTCTGCAGTTTCTATTATCATCCAAAACCTCTTCACTGTGTGAAAAATACTTTTGACATAGGTAATAAAATACTTTCCCCAATTTTTTTTGGGGGGGGTCATGTAGCCTAGGCTTTTATAGCTGAGGCTGGCCTTGAACTTCTGACCCTCCTGCTTCTATCTCTCAAGTGCTGAGACTGTGAGGAGGGTAGCCAGGCCCAGTTCTGTCTTGTATAATATGTAAGTGAAACATTTGGTAGAGAGTCATGCTATTTTTAAAAATTGATTCGTATCACACAAATCCCAAGTAAAATAATTTGGTGGGCTTGGGCTGGGCATGGCAAAGGGATGGAGGAAAGTAATCTCAGCTGCAGAATGGCAGATGTCCTGCCCCCTCCCACATGCTTTTGCAAAACTGGTGAATTGGGCCACTACCCACAGGATCAGGAACCCGCCCCCACCAACGCCCAGAGGGTCCCCTCTGAAGCCCTCAGCTGCCTCCAGCCACCTCCTGCAAGTCTCATAAGAGCCGCTGCACCAGCAGATGTAGGAGTTTATGGGGCATGAGGTCCTTGTGCTCACAGACAAGCACTAGAGGAACCAGAAATGTTAAATACAAAGGGTGTTGCTTCAAAGGGAGAGAAGGCTGGGAGTGGAGGTGACTTTAGCCTGGTGATGTTTGCACTACCTGTGTGGCTGAGAGCACATCAGATCCTCCTCAGACCCTTTATATGAATTCAGTTTTCTTAATCTATGAGTTCTT